AGTCAGAGTGCAATACATCTGGCAAAGAACTCGGTGTTTCACTCCAGAACTAAGCACATTGACATTCGATATCATTTCATCAGATCTCTGCTTGAGGATGAAGTGTTGACTGTAGGAAGCAAGAACCCAACAGACATGCTAACGAAGGTGGTGACCATTGACAAACTGAAGTTGTGCTCAACTTCAGTTGGACTGCTAGAGTAACAGACCGAAGATGACTACTGCAGTAATTGAGGTGTGAGGACAGATTGAAATCAGTCCTCAAGTGGGAGATTGTTAAGTCAAAAAAAGGGGGTTGCGCCCATCCCTTTTGAAAGCTGAAGAAGAAGAAAAATAATTCAGCACACTATTATTAAAATATTGTAGCAGCCGTGTGTTGAAGAATTAAGCTGCGATTTGTTGACAAATTGGAGCTATTTTCTTCTATAAATAGCTGAGCATTTGATGAACGGAGACACACAACAAAATACAAGAAAGAAAAGAGAGAAAGGAAAAGCTAACAAAAATTTAGCTTTTGTGTATTTTTTGGTTGTGAGTTGTGAGTGACTTTCGAGAGTGTTTTGTAAACACGAGTATTTTCTTTTCTCCTAATAAAATATCTGCAGTAGTCCGGAGACGTAGGCATTATTGGCCGAACTCCGTTATCAATTTGGTGTGTCCAATTTTTCGCTTTTATTTCACTTTTATAGATCCGACTTCATGGAAATTTCAGCGTATTTTTCCCAACATGTTAGTCTTCGACACTTGCATAGAGAGACAAACTTTTCTGCCGACCATTTAGCGAGCCAGCGTCTTCTTATCCGATTGGCCTCCATGTGCTCTCTACGCCTCCTCCTAGTGTGGGAGAATGACTTCAACATGATATCATTAGGGTATCTTATCCCTGACGTATTCTTGTCTAACACGGCTTATGACCTCCTTCTTTGTACCAAAAAAAATAAAAAAAAAAAGTTACTTATTACGCTTCACCCATTAAATTGTAGATGTTTACGCACCCACCCCACGCTGTCCGTTTCCCGCCAAAAGCAGCGTCGTCCTTTTACCTAAACTGAAAGCGAGCAAGCCACACTAGTCAGAGTGCGAAGATCGGAATGGCGCCGGCGGCTGATCCACAGTCTTCCTCGTCTCTTCCCACCGCAGAAAATAATCTCCAGGTAATTATTTCTTTCGAATGTATGTATAATCACAGTAAATTGGCGATTGTAACAATCCCTAAATTTTGCTGCAGCCTTTTTTCGTTCTTCACAAGGCGTCCCCGCGAAAATGCACCGGAAAAACCCGCCGGAGGATAGATCTATCCCCCCAAAAATCAGATGGACGTGCAGACATCTCCGACAAAAACCTGCCGTTGGAAACCTTCAAATGTCTCTGGTCGAAGACCGAGTCCATTATCAAGGTATATATCTCCGAATATCTTATCTTCTTTTGTAAATAATTACTGATAGCACTATGAATACCAGGAGGTCTTGAGAAATCTTAACGCTGACGTGTTTGACGATATTTGTAAATGGCTTCACGCGTCCTTTGACGCTATTCGTGCCTGCCGAGCTCTTAATTTGGGTAGTGCCACACGTCCCTACCCAATCATGAATGGTGCTTCAAATGCTTCTGCAATTTCATTTAGACAGATCTTCACAGCATTGCTTTTCACCAGTAAGTCCTTGCTAGTTGCTCCCTTATGACTTTGAACTGCATTTTCAACAATATTGTAGGTAAAGGTTATTGTTTATTCTATTGCTGGACGACTATAATTTTGATATGGCGATTTCTTTAGAGAATATGGAGTTCGTGGATGACATATTGGCTTTTGAGGACCTTGGTGTGCATTTGAGGTCCAATGGGTGTTATGTAGCTAAGCTTACTTCTTCAGAATTCTCTGCTAAAAATGGAGTAGGTGGCTGTCTTAGAACTCTATTGAGGCAGTTTCTGATGCTCGGAGTTGATGTAAGCATGTGGCTGACTCTATGCATCTGTTTACCTAGCAGAAAATATAGCTTTCTTAGTAGTCAAATGACTTGTAGAGCTTTATCGTTTGATTCTTAAATTTTAATAGGCTCCTGACATGTCCATTTTAGCATCGTGGTATTCTGAACAAGATGAGAAGCCACTAGTTGTCATAATTGAAGACGTCGAGAGGTGCTGCGGTTCTGTCCTGAAAGATTTCATTGTGATGTTGAGGTAAAGTAGCTAGATTTGATTCTAAAATGAAAACCCACTTTTGCTTACTGCACGTATGCTCGATTGCTTCCTTGATTACTTGTTATGCTTCGGATATGTCTACATGATGTCCTTCCTGTTGTCGATGACAATGACGGTGCTTTTACAGGGAATGGGTAGTTAAAGTTCCTGTAATTTTGATACTGGGAGTTGCAACGACTTTTGATGCTCTAAGGAACACTTTAAGCTCAAATACATTGTCGGATCTGTCTATTTGTGAGTTTAGTCTGAGAACCCCAGCTGAAAAGATGGATGCTGTTATTGAGGCTGTTTTTTTGAAAAGTTGTGGAAGCTTCAGCATAGGAAAACACATTTCATCTTTCCTGAGAAATTACTTTTTAAGGCATGA